AAAAAAAAGTAGCTATGTCTTAATTCATGTAGTTATTTGTAATCTTTCTCTAAACGAACGACTTCTCTCACTTGCATTATCCTAAATATTATTTGAGTGATAACAAAATGAAAGTATGACAATTTGGAAATTATGGTGCAACATCACTACCAAGACATTTGCAAGAAATTTCAATTTGCAACAGGCTTTCGATATTATATCCTAATATTTGTTTAATCCTGAGAGTCAACAGACTTCACAGAGCCTCAGATGTCACCAAACTCACAGAATCACAAGACAGAACACCGAAGCATCTGCCTAAGTGAGGAGTGCTGCAAATAAACCCATCCAGAAGTGGCTGTAACAGACCAAAGAATCCTGATATGCTGAACAGAAAAGTTCTGAATAATGTGCTTTACATGCAAGAAAAACTATGCATCACCAGATTGTTAAGATTCTTTTATATGTGAGTGTACTTTGCCCGTCTTTCAGAAAGGATCATATTATGTAATATTTGCCGAATGGTCATTTCTTGTGCCACTTCTTGTTTTTAATCACTGTTGCCTATTGATTAAGAACACAGGTTTTTAGATCCAGACTGTCTGGGTATGAACCCCATCTCTATTGATTACTATTACTGTGGCCAATCTCTTGTACTTCAGTTTCCTCAATTACAGAATGGGGTTAACCAAAATATATCCAAGTACCTACTTTGCATGGTTGTGAGAATAACACAGCTTCTCTTGGCTTTTGTGTAAATAAAAACGGGTAGCATGTGCAAGGAAGTATCAGTTACTGCTTCTGTTATAATTATTATTACCCAGAGAATGTCATATACAAAACAATCTGGAAAATAACACAGCTCACAAGACACATACAGTCATGCACTGCACAATGACATTTCAGTCAACAATGGACCACATAAGATGGTGGTCCCATAAGACTACATACAATGGAGCTAAAAATTCCTGTAGTCTAGTGATAGGTCATAGCTGTCCTGACGTTGTAGTGTGACAAATCACTCATGCATTTGTGGTAATGCTGGTGAAAACAAACCTACTATGCTGCCAGTTGTATAAAAGTATAGCCCATACAATTATGTACAGTACATAATACTTGATAACGATAATAAATGATTATTACTGGTTTATGTATTTACTGTATTTTTTTATCTTAGAGTGTATGTCTTCTACTTATTAAAAAAAAAAAAGTTAACTGTAAAATATCCTCAAGCAGGTCCTTCAGGAGGTATTCAGAAGAAGGCATTGCTATCATAGGTGATGACAGCTCCACACGTGTTATTGCACCCAAAGACCTTCCAGAGGGACAAGATGTGGAGATGCAAGACGGCAATATGGATGATCCTGACCCTTTATACACCTAGATTAATGTGTGTATTTGTGTCTTAGTTTCTACCAAAAAAGTTCAAAAAGTAAAAAATAAATAGAAAACTTTATTTTTAAATTTTTATTTATTTTTTTAGAGATGGGATCTCACTCTGTTGCCCAGGCTGGAGTGCAGTGATTATAGAGTGCAGAGATTATAGAGATAGGGAGTGCATGATTATAGATCACTGCAACCTTAAACTCCTGGGCTCAAGTGATACTCCTGTCTCAGCCTCCTGAGTAGCTGGGACTATAGTGGTGTGCCACTACACATGGCTAATTAAAACATTTTTTTTGTAGAGATAAGGTCTTGCTATGTTGCCCAGGCTGGTCTTGTAATTCCTGGCCTCAAGCAATCCTCCTGCCTCAATCTCCTAAAGTGCTGGGATTACAGGTGTTAGCCATTGTGCCCAGCCTAAAACTTTAAAAATAGAAAAAAAGCTTATAGAGTAAGGATATAAAGAAAGAAAATAATTTTGTACAGCTGTACAATGTATTTGGGTTCTAAGTATTATTACAAAGGAATCAAAAAGTTAAGGCCGGGCGCAGTGGCTCATGCCTGTAATCCTAGCACTCTGGGAGGCCAAGGCGGGAGGATCGTTTGAGTTCAGGAGTTCAAGGCCAGCCTGAGCAAGAGTGAGACCCCGTCTCTACTAAAAATAGAAAGAAATAAGCTGGACAACTAAAAATACATATATATAGAAAACATTAGCTGGGCACGGTGGTACAAGCCTGTAGTCCCAGCTACTCGGGAGGCTAAGGCAGAAGGATCGCTTGAGCCCAGGAGTTTGAGGTTGCTGTGAGCTAGGCTGACGCCATGGCACTCTAGCCTGAGCAACAGAGCGAGACTCTGTCTCGAAAAAAACAAACAAACAAAAAAAAAGTTAAAAAAATAAAGTTTATAAAGTAAAAATGTTACAGTAAACTAAGGCTAATTTATTACTAAAGAAAGATTTTTTAAAATGAATTTAGTGTAGCCTAAATGTACACTGTTTACAGTCTACAGTAGTGTACAGTAACGTCCTAGGCCTTCACATTTACTCGCCCTCATTCACTGTCTCTCCAGAGGAGCTTCGAGTCCTACAAGCTCCACTTATGCTAAGTGCCCTATGTAAGTCTACCAATATTTTATCTTTTATACCATATACATACACAAATACCATTGTGTTACAACTGCTTACAGTATTTAGTACAGTAACATGTAGTATAGCTTTATAGCCTCGGAGCAATAGGCTATACTGTATAGCTTAGGTGTGTAGTAGGCTATACCATCTAGGTTTGCATAAGTGCACTCTGTGTGTTACCACAATGAAGAAATTGCCAAACTATGCATTTCTCTGAACATCTCCCTGTTAAGTGACACATGACTGTATATATAATCCCAAGAAATTGAATTCCCTGGTATTTCAGGATAATCTTTAATCACCTTCACAATAATGCTCTTGATTGAGTTTTAACATCTCTTTTCCTATTCCTGTAGACATTTAATGATTGTTATTGGTAATGTAACCCTTAGTATATATGAGAAAGTTGTGTTTCTGATGATCCATGAAAACTTCATCCTTATTCTAAAAAAAAATCATTACTTTTAATATTCCACTGTTTCAGTTTTCCCTTAATGATGAGTGTAAGACTTCCTTACCTCAGGTGCACCTGCTATTTTCAGTTGCAGCATTCCTTTTCTGTCCTTGTCTTCACTGTTGGAATACTGAATGGTCTGCACTTGATTGAAGTCAGCTAGATGTGTGGGCTTTGGAAAGGAAAGGTAAAAAATTTGTAGACCACAGATAAAAGACTCATTTCACTTATTCTAGTAACTGTTCTGGGAAATCCTCATAGTCCTTGAAGACATCCTCCCTAAGACTGGAGGTCTGCCATGTAGCACCCCATGGAGTGGCCATGTAGCTGTCCCCTGCACTTCACATTTGGGCACCTGTCTTTTCATCCAACTTATACGTGTGAGACCCACACATATGAAGTGGCCGAATGAAAATATAGTTATCAGAGAGAAAACAGAAGACAGAGGAAGGAAGGAAGTAGAAGCAACCCGACTTGACTCACTTGTTAGCCTGGGAGGAGCTTCATGGAATTCTCAGAGTGAACATTCTGCTTCTATTCTCACAAAGAAAGAAATCCAGGCTTATTCCCCACATATCCTGAGCTACAGAAATTTTGTGAAACTTACTGAAGTTCTATAGTATATTGGTGCTAGAGAGAGAGTAGTATCCAAAGGACCCTTCCCATACAGACTGACCTCTTAGGACATGCCAAGAGAGGCTATGGTCATTTTCCTAGTAAAATAAACTCGTTTTTCTTCTTAAAAAGAAAAGTAAGGCCGGTCTCATGCCTGTAATCCCAGTACTTTGGGAGGCCAAGGTAGAAGGATCGCTTGAGGCCAGGAGCTCAAGACCAGCCTGAGCTACGTGGCAAGACCTTATCTCTATAAAAAAAAGAAAAATTAGGTGGGCATTGCGGCATGTGCCTATAGTCCCAGCTATCTGGGAGGCTGAGGCAGGAGGATCACTTGAGCGCAGGAGTTTGAGGTTGCAGTGAGCTATGATGACACTACTGTACTCTACCCTGGGCAAAAGAGAGAGACTACGTCTCAAAACAAAACAAAACAAAACACCACACATCTCATCTTCTACCCTTCTAGCATTTCATGACCATGATCACTTTGCGTATGATGATTGCTACAGATTTCTTCAAAACAATTAGCTTGGTTAAGGACGCTCTCTTAGAATACCACGAAGTATCAGCACCTGTTATCCTGAGCAAGGCATTGGTTTGATGGTGGTAGGCAGGAAAAGCCTGGTTGGAGTAGGTTGAAGGGAGAATGGGAAGAATTGCAGGCAGAGCAATTAGATAATCTGTCAAGAAGTTCTGCAATAAAGGAAAGACGAAAACATAAGGTATCAGGAAGGAACAAGGATGAGGATATAGGATTAAGAGAGGGTATTTTTAAGATGGGAGAAGTCATACATTTTTTCTATGCTGACAGGAATGATTCAGTATGTTAGTCATGTTTGCTGATGTAGGAAAAACAGGAGAGAATTAATGAATTACCATGAGCAGTTAAGATAGGATGGGAGCCATTGCATGAGCAGAGGGTTGGTCTTATCCTGCAACATAAAAATACACCCAGAAGCATGGCAGATGTACGAGAGCTTCTGGAGACTCTATCCTGATTGTTCCTATACTGCTTTTCTTCTACTCTACACAACTAATAACTCATTTCATAGCTACAGAGATTCTTATACCCTTCAGTAGAAAATAAACATTTTTTTCAAGGAGGATTTACAATAATTAACCATATACTCGGCCATAAAAAAGACCCTGACAAATCTGAATAGTTAACCATTAAAAAATCACATTATCTGCTCATAAGCTAATATAAAATTGGCTTATGATATGCTTATTAAAAATAATTTAAGAAAAAAAGCCTAGATCCTCTTGAAAATTAAGTAACATTCTCTTCAATAATGCTATAATGAAAAAGAGAAAAATGAAATCTCAAATGAGTATACAGACATACAATAAAAAGTAGAATACCACATACTTAAATTGGTAAGATATGACATGATAAAAGTACAAGAAGAAAATGGCCTCCAAATTTAAAACAAGAATAAATTTTCAAGAAATGCTTAAAAGGACTAGAATAATACAAAGCCCAAAATAACCAAGATATTACAAAAAGGGAATTACTGAAAAATACTGAAGTCAATGAAAATTAATAGAAGTGCTATAATAAATCCCTAAGTTTGTCTTTTAAAAGACAAGTAGAATAGACCCCTTTGCAAGTCTGAAAGCAGAGCCAAACCTAAACAGTCAAACTTAGGAATGAGACAGAATATAAAACCAAAGTGACTGAAAAGATTTTAAGAGAACTATGAGATGCAACTCTATGGCAGCAATACGGAAACGTAGAGAAGCAGATAATATGCTAAAAAATATAAATTACCCAAACCGCCACAAATAGCGTGGAAAATCTGAATAGATCTATTACTATTGAAGTGATTAAAAAGATCATTAAAAACAATACAACCACCTACCACTGAAAAGACACCTTGTCATTACATAGGTCAATTCTATCTAAGTTTTATTTATTTATTAACTTTTTTTGTTTTTTGAGACAGAGTCTCTCTCTGTTGCCCTGGCTAGAGTGCAGTGGCGTCATTATAGCTCACTGCAACCTCAAACTCCTCGGCTTAAGCGATCCTCCTGCCTCTGCCTCCCAAGTAGCTGGGACTATAGGCACATGCCATCACACCTGGCTAAATTTTTCTAGAAAAAATTTATAAATGAAAAAAAAATTAAAAAAAAAATATATATATAAACAAGGAAATACAAGCAGAGTCTGTGAATGAACCCAAAGTCATAAAGCTAGCACGTGAGTAACTCAAGATGGTGGTGACCTTGGCCATGTACTCCAGAGCCTACTCTCTTGAGCACACTAAACCCTCCCTTTATTCTTCCCTCCTGAAGAAGTGGGTAGATTTCCATCTTATGCCATAAGTGGAATTCCAGATGGATTAAAGACATACAGTTAAAAAGGCAAGAAAAGTCTTGTAAGAAAATATATGAAACTGCAAATATAATCTAAGAGTTAGGATTAAAAAATTCACAAGTAATAAAAGGTAAGATGAATAATGTCATAGTTTTTTGAAGAGGTTGTACCAATGCTCTCACCATCAAAATATGAAAGGTCTAGTTGTTCCACTTTCTTGCCAATGCTTGGTACTATATACATCTTTTTCCTGTTAGCCATTCTAGTGTATGTACCAGTATCACATTGCATCACTCTGATGAGTATGAGGCTGAACATCTTTTCATTTATTTATTGGCCATTTTGGTATCCTCCATTGAGTTGTCTGTCCTTTTCTTAATGATTTATTATTATTTTTTATTCTGGATTAAGAATCTATTGTCAAATGTTTATTGCAAATACTTGGTTTGCCTTTCTGTTATCTTAAGATGAAAAAAAGTTTCTGATTTCAATGTAGTCCAATTTATCAAAATTTTCTTTTAGAGTTAGCACTTTTTATAACCTGTTTAAGGAATCTCTGCCTACTCCAAAGTTATAAAAATATTCTCCTATATTTGAGAACTCTTATCATTTTCACCTTTCATGTGTAGACCTAACTCCACCTGGAAGTGATTTTTGTCATGGTGTGTGATAAGGGGCAAAATTCATTTTGTTTTCCTCTGTGACTATCCAGCTGACCCAGCACCATTTATTAAAAACTTAATCAATGATGGTAAAGTCAGGATAGCAGTCCATCCTTGGGATGTGGGACTAGTAAGACTAGTCTGTTTCAAGTCAACAGCCAACATGTGATTTAGGAAAAAATTTTAACAACAGTTAAGGAAAACACACTGACTTCCTTGATGTGTAGAGAGATTTACAAATTGATAAGAAAAGGACAGATGTGTTGATGAAATAGCCAAAATATATGATATAAACAGTTATTATAATTCACAGAGGTGGGAAGAGAAACAGCCAGGATGTAAAAAATATGTTTAAATTCACTAGATGCTTGCTTTACATCAAATTGAACAAAAAGAGTAACGGGAATCACTTTGTACCTATTAAAATAGAAAAATTAAAAGAGTTATTAAAACTACTGCTATCAAATGAGTGGGGAAAATAGTACTTTCATACACTGCTGGTAAAAATATGAAGCTTCTTAGCCTTTCTGAAAAGAAATATGGCAGCTTCTTTTAAAATTATCACTATGTGAATGGATTCTGCAGTTCCATACTTGGAAATCTCTTCTGTAAGGAGAAAAGGCACATAGATACGTGTAAAAGAATATTTACTATGTCATTGTCTAGGGGTAGAAATTTGAAAGCAAAGTACATGTCCTCTGCATGGTCCTATCTGGCTCCCAGAGAGAGAAGGGAAAGAGCCAGGGTGGTACTGAAGGAATTTCTACCAGGTTCAGAGTGAAATACCCAGGCTGCAGGGCAGGGTGCCCAATAATTACCCCATTCTGAATAACAAAACACAGCATGGAGATGAATAGCAGAATAGTTCCTGAGTCACTTACATGTGAGTATGGGGGACAGAAAAGGAGGACACAGAGATGAAGACAAAGGACCAGTGGAAGCAGGAGCCAAGCAGAGTAGGAATGGAAACCAGAGTGTGCTTGGAAAAAAGCAGGTATGATGTGATGTGGTTTGGTCACATTTATGCCCTATGTAAAATTATGTGTATAGAAAATGTATGAATAAATTAAGTAAAAAGTTCAAATCATAAAACTCTGTGAGTGGAAAAGAACACCTGGTGGTACAGGCCTAAGAAGAGCCCCTCAGGATTACATGCTGACCACTGATCTAAAGGGGAGCATGCCCTTCTCAACACAACTTCCCTTAAGCAGTTCCACTTTTCATCTTAGTATTTATCAGTATGCTACAAAGATATGTTCCGTGTGTGTGTTTGTGTGTGTGTGTGCATAAAGAAACAGGGTCTTGCTCTGTTGCTCAAGCTGGAGTGCAGTGGTGAGGTCATAGCTCATCGTAATCCTGAATTCCTGGGCTCAGGTGATCCTCTCACCTCTCGCCTCCTAAATAGCTGGGACTACAAGTTCATGCCACCATGCCTGGCTATTTTTTTTTTTTTTTTTTTAGAGATGGGGTCTTGCTATGTTGCCCAGGCTGGTCTTGAATTCCTGGCCTCAAGTGATCCTCCCGCTTTGCCCTCCCAAAGCGCTGGGAATACAGGGGTGAACCACTGAGCCTGGTCTGTTCCATATTTATTTTGTACACCTGACTATAAGCTACATAAAGGTAAGAACTTTTGTTTCGTTCCTTGTTGTATCTCAAACCAGTGCCTGATACTAAGCAGATGCTCAATAATACTTGCTGCAAGAATGAAAGAGGAACCCACAGAAAAAAATTAGCACCTCTGCTGAGAAGACAATAAAAGAAAGGAGGTCTGGTGTGGCAGTTGGAAATAAGCAGGGTTTCCAACAGATGGACATTTTTTCTCAGTTAAGATAAGGCTAGGAGGATATGAAGCCAATATAAATATACCCAAATCATATCCAGAGCTCAATTAAAAAAATATTTAAACAACCTCCAGATAAATTGGAACAACCCCATCCTGGTTTTACTAACATACATATGACTTAAATGATTCCTTTCCCTCCAAAACTAAAGAATTTTCAAGAATTCCAACAGAGGCCTAGACTTTCTCTTACTTGCCCCCTCCTTCAGCAACAAATGCCATGCAATGGAAAGATTTAATTGCAGAATAATGTCTTTTCCAGAAGAATATCCCATTTCCTTAATTTCATTCCTCTTGTCTGAAGTCAAGTTCCTGAGACTTCACAGAAGCAGACTTACATTGCAGCCCTTGTCTGTTAAGTAACTGATTCCTTCTTCTGGGCCGATTGCCAGCTCCACTGAAATAATCCAGCTTGACTTTTGAAGATTGTTCAAACAGGTGAAGACAGCGATGCCAGAAGGAAAAAAGAAATATTTTAGATAAAGAGCCATGGATATATTAAAGCAGTAGTCTCCAACCTTTTTGGCACCAGGGACCAGTTTCCTGCTGTGCAGCCCAGTTCCTAAGTTTAATGGAAGACAATTTTTTCACAGGACAGAGGGGAAGCAGGGAAGGTGAAGCTCAGGTAGTCATGCCGGCGATAGGGAATGGCTGAAGTTTCCTTTGCTTGCCTGCAGCTCACCTCCTGCTGTGCGGCCCAGATCCTAACAGGCCACAGAATGGTATTGGTCTGCAGCCCAGGGGTAGGGAAAGTAGTATTAAAGGCCCAAAGAGAGGCTGGCTTGCTTTGCTATTAATCTATCTAACCAAATATGATAAAATATTAATATTCATCACTTCATTGACCCAAGATCTGTTCAGCCTAGACAGAGATGCACTGTGCTTACTCCAGCATGCCTGGAGCCAATGGTTTCTTTTAGATGATTATTTGATTAGGTAAACTAGACCTTAGAGAGAAGAGTTAATCAATAAATCACAGGGCTGGAATAAGAAAACCAAATTGTAAACACAGGCATGCTATTTTAAAAAAGGTGATTTTATTCTCACATTGATAAATTTCATTTTTGTGTTTTTCCCACTATAAAAATGACGAAGTAATATTCTGTTATTACAAAATGGGACATATTAGCTTTCTTTCTATTGGAAATTTAGATATACAGTAATGGTTAAGGAAAAGCAGAAGAAATCAAACTAGTCCAGTATTTCTCATGTCCCATACTTACACCAAGAGCACACTTGAAACATTCTTTATCAAATCTGTACACTGGAGAGAGGATCTCAAAGAATTTCAGAATACTTTCTTCTCTATTAAGATTGGCAAACTGTCTAAATGTTTGTTGGATCAGTTTTCTTAGTGTTTTGGCCTGCATGATAAAATTAGAAAAAATCTTTTTTTAGAGTCAGCAATGCATAAAGACCACAGCAATAATAGTAAGATTTCTTTCCTACCTACCACTTAATACCAGCAAAATATCACACTTGTCAAATAACTATAAATTTATCATTGCTTTTTAAAATAATTATGGTAAAAAACCCAATATAAAATTTACCATCGTAACCATTTTTAACTGTACAGTTCACATATAGAGCTTTATATCTTTTTTTTTCTTTAGAGACAGAGTCTCACTCTGTTGCCCTGGCTAGAGTGAGTACCGTGGCGTCAGCCTAGCTCACAGCAACCTCAAACTCCTGGGCTCAAGTGATCCTCCTGCCCCAGCCTCCCGAGTAGCTGGGACTACAGGCATGCACCACCATGCCCGGCTAATTTTTTCTATATATTTTTAGTTGGCCGATTAGTTTCTTTCTAATTTTAGTAGAGGCAGGGTCTCGCTCTTGCTCAGGCTGGTCTCGAACTCCTGAGCTCAAACAATTCGCCCGCCTCGGCCTCCCAGAGAGCAAGGATTACAGGCGTGAGCCACCGCGCCAGGCCCGAGCTTTATTTCTTAAACAGAAATTTGTACCTCATATGCACATGAACCAGAAATGACAAGGGTGAAGGTATAAAATTACTTACATGTTCCGCTGTTAAAAGGGAAAAACTGATATACTTTTCCGAATGGCAACACAAATCAAAAACCTTAAAAATCCACAACTCTTGTTCCAGAAAATTACATAACATTCTTCTTTAGAAATGATTAAAGATACATGCAAAGATTCAGCAACAAGGAGACTCACTGCAGGATTGTTTGTATTAACATATGGATGGGTTACATAAACCATGGTGTATCTATCTACCTAACCAATATTCTATGCAACCCTGAAAACTGTTTTGTAGAACTAATTTACTGACACTAAAATCCATACCATATTGTTAACATGAAAAAAGAGGACAAAACAATCAGTAAATATGGTACAGATGCCTTTAAAAGGAGAGAAAACACATGTGAGCCTTGGGAAGCACACAGCAATGCTCCCCTGAAGGATAAACCAACAAGGCTTTTTTTCTGTGTAGTGAGATGATAGTCTTTTGGTCCTTTTTCCCTTACTGAGTTTTCTATTTATACATATGAACATCTGCAGTGGAGGGAAGGGCTTTCCAGCCAGCAAGCTCCCAGGCCTCAGTGTGTGAAGCAGCCTGAGCAAGCTAGTGGTGCGAGGCTATGTGATGAGGTCTGAGGAAGAGGAGCTAGAGAACACAGCAATGGTAAGTACTCAGCATTGACCCAGAGGAGATACCAAGTCCTTGGATGGCAGAGGAGTGACACTATCTGACTCAGAAAGAGACACTCTGGCTGCTGTATTGTGAGCAGTCATGACAGGAGCAGGAGAGACCAGGTAGGAGGCTACCCAAATAATCCAGCAGGAGGTAACAGTTTGCACGAGTACAGACACAGAAAGGGGGTGAAAAGTTGTCAGATTCTAGATTTATTCTGAAAAGAGAACCAACAAGACATGCTGATTGATTGGTAAGAGTTGCCATTGAACTGAAATGGCAAAAACTGTGAGAAGAACAGGTTGGTGGGTGAAGGTCAGAGAAATACCAGGAGAATATGAGAATCCAAGCAGAGGTGTCAGGCAGGCTGCTGGATGTAAAGGACCAGTAGAGTTCAAGGGGAGGTCCTGGCTGGCCCAGCACACAGAGGAATCAAAGCTAGGCGACTGAAGGACCAGGGGACATGTGGATGGAGAGCAGCCAGGGACCCAGGCTGAGGTGTGGCTGCAGAGGCAGGTACAAGGTGACCCAGGAGGGCATGGCATACTTTGGGTGGGGTCATGGAGGTGACAGCCTGTCTGGAGTGGCTTGAAGGTCCCAGTGGGGTGTAAGGATTACTAGATCTGGGACACCACAGAGAATGAGCTGGAAAGACAGGAGAGTGGGATACACACAATCAGGGAGAGGCTGCAGTTACTGCAAATGTAAAAGACCAGAGGCAGAAGACAAGATTTCCTGGCAGACAAGAGTTCAACAAGCCAAAAAATCAGAACACTTGAGGATTACCCAAGGCATGTGATTTTTATTTTATAAAGCTCGTTCTGTTCTTGCATACAGAGGGTTGGGAGAGTGTGTAAGAGAGAAAGTAAAAAGACCAGTCAGGTCACCGAAATAGTCCAAGCAAGAAACACTAGTGGTGTGGATCCCAAGGTGGTGGTGAAGGAGAGCAATGGGCACCTTTGGGACATCTGGACAATTGTATGTGGGACAGGAGCAAAGTGGAAGAATCCAGGATGACTACGGTTTTGGATGAAAAAAATGGGCAAACGCAAGGGGCCGGCTCGGTGAGGAAAATAAAGTCATGTTAATTCTGGACATGTTGGTGATCTTGAAGTCTTCTGACTTGAACTGTCAACTAGACATTTGGATGTAAGTTCGGAGTTCAGGAGCAGGCAGAGATGGTGAAAGAAATTTCAGAGTCACCAGCTAAGGTATTTATATATATATACGTGGACTAAGATGACACCTGCAAATAAAATGGAGAGGGCTAAAGCCAGGCAGGCTGGCCAATAGTCAGTTTTAACCAGGGCTGCTGTTTTGACAGGTAAGTATGATAGAGAGTGGAAAAAGAATTACAGATGTTTTGAAAAGGATTAATTATAGCTTTAGATCACAGAATCTAAACAGAAGAGAAATAAAATGGGTTCAAGGTTAGCACATAATGAGTTGGTCAGCTTTGGATGCTCTATAAAGAAAAGTGTGGGAAGCATATTTTTGGGACCGGCCATGCAAGAATTGGTCATGAGCCAAGGGACTGAAAAAGGCCACTCTCAGCACAGGGCTAAGCTTGACAGTATTTAACAGCTGTTCTGATTCCAGGCTTTCCAAACATTCTCTGACTATGGTCACCTATGCAGGTCTGTCTACCAGGAGTGTGTAGACTGAACATGGAGATCTGAGTACGTTTGCAGCTGCTCACAGATGTTTTTCTCACAAATTAACAATACACCATCCTGGTAGTTCGTTGAATGTAAACCAGTTCCTGAGATGTAAGTCTGCTACACTTTGGACTCAGAACAAATCCACTAAGGAAATTCTATTCTGTGCTTTGCACATGGAATACACTGAAGAATCAGAACAGCTACCTTATTCTCCAGAACCTCAGAAGAGTGCTGGAGAAAGCTTTCTGAGCTTCATTCGTGGCTATAGGAAAAATAGTGTAACTCTATGGACACAGTGCTGGTGGGCATTGATTAAAACACACACACCAAAAAATGATGTTAGGAAAGACATCTGTAGACCCTTCCCTGGAAATAAACTTCACAACATCTTCTGCAAAGTAGATACTATTTTTCATATATTATATTAGTGAGCAAACAGAGACTCAGAAAGATTAGGTAACAATGTGGGGGTAGAAGAGCTGGGATTCCAAGGCAGAACTCCTTGAGTTCTTTTTGCTAGCTGTGTGACCATTTCAAGCACCTCCTCCTCTAACATGTTCTTCCAGGCAGCACCAGGAAGAAATGACTACCACATCCTATGGGTTTCATCTCATCTTGTATGTATTTTTAAACATGGAACTTATGGAAGATTCTTGTGGGTGAGAAGAGAGCCGGAGTTATCTCTTTAATGGTAAGAGTGTGGCCCACAGCTGAAACTCATTATGCACTTAAAAGTGAATAATTGCATAACTCTACCACAACAACTTGGATTCTGGCACCCTCCCAAATAGACAGAATGGATGAATAAAATCTGGTTCTATCCTGTGATTAAACAATACTTCACTTTCTAGCATGTAAGAGGGAAGACAGTTCAGACTTTAAACATTCTGTCATTAGAACATGCTGCCTCAACGTGCCAATCAATGTTCTGATTGTAAGAAGTCTCTTCCATCAGCAAGTAGAAAATAGGCTGAGCAAAAGCCCTGGAACACCTTAAAACTCTTAAATTGTTATGCTATCACAAATTAGAATACGGCAGCAGTTGCAAAAAATGGTTGTCAAATAAGCACACGGACTAGAACACAATGGCAAATCATTTTTATTAACATTAATAAAAAGTTGATATATTCATTTATGACCCTAAAGAGGAATATTTTATCTCAGAGAAATACTGACATGCAAAGAATAAAAACAATATAAAAGAGGTCCAGAAATTAAGTTAATTCTCTGTTTTGTACCTAATTCCCAACCAGCTGCCTGTTTACAAACAAGTAATAATACTGTAAGTTACACCCATTCATTCGTTACCTAAAATATAAAATACTCCATGAAGTAGTAGAAATGGAAGTCGAGGAACTAGAATCCTCCGCTTGAGCTTCAAACACATATATATCTACCTGCCTGACAGTTTGACTTGGATTCCCTACAGACATCTAAAACCTAACATGCCACTGATATTCCAGCTGTGCTGGTACTTACCCTGCCTGACATTACACCTGACATAGCTGCCACTCTATCACTCTGAACCTCCTCCTTCCCCTTCCTCTTGACCTCCACAGTCTCACAGCACCTTAAGCTCAGTATTTTCATAGCCAAATGGATTGCTGTCAGTCTGACTCAATTCTGCTTCTGCTTCAATACTGTGTCTTTGATTACCAGCACCAGTGACCACCTGAGTGTAAAAGACAGAAATTTGAGGTGAGGCCAGGCCCTGCACTTTCTTCTCCCTCCTCCCACAGGTTAAGTTAATAGGTTAAGTCCTGTAAGGCCTTATATCCTTAATGTCCTTCAAATGTAACCCAACAAATCTCTACCCTCTGTCTCCTTTAAATTCAAGCCCTCATCATTTCTCTTTGCAAAAGTGTCTCCTGATGGTCGAGAAATATAAAAGAAGTTGAGCGCTGTTCTCCTACAATAGGGATTGAAGCTATCAGCCCTGTGCTAAATAAAGTGAGCCCTCTTTTTCTCATCCAAAACTCTCTTAGAAATGGAATAATAAAGAACTAAACTGCTCACTCTGATTATTTAAACTGCTGGAAAATTTCTGAGTAACTGGGCAAATGTGCTTGAAAACAAGCTCTAATTTTATTGTATTTGTCTCATTCACTTGAACATGGGGGAAATGTGTTAAGTTTTCTGCAGGCTCCTTTACCTGGCTGATCCTGCTTGTATGTATTACCAAGTTAAGAACTAGGAAGTCACAGTGATCAACAACAAACCAATAAGCTCAAGTAGCTGAAGTAGGGGGAGATGATATCATTCAGAGTTAGTTTTCTATGGACACAGAAACAACTCTCTTGCTCCCCACCAACTAAAATGGGGTGCTTTGCCAGGAGTGTACCCAACCTTTCTTACGGTCTATGCTTAAATGTGACCACCAGAGAGGGCTGTGAGTTCTAAACCTATGTTCAATGTAGGATAAGAACTAGAAAATCTGTGTTGTCCAAAAGAAGCTCCAAAATTAGCTTTTATAAGAAGGATATCTGAGAAAGCATTATTTCTTTCCTAATTACTCAGGAAAAAATTCCACAAAATCTAACTTCCTAGAATATTTTGGTATTAATCAACGTACTTCCTAAACTAGCAGGAGCAAGTAAGATGGTTTTACATTACATTTCAAGTTTTAACACCTGCTTTGTGTTTGCCTAGATTTAGGAAACTAGGCATCTATCTATTCACACTATTCTATTTTAAACCAATTCACGTGTAAGGAGAAAATTACCAAGAACGTGATATTTCTTCAAAATGAAGCAGCATTATTTGGTTGAACCATCAGAAATTGCTGCTATTCAGCCATGTGCAACTACAAAAATAATTTCATATTAGTCAACTGAATGATTATCAGATGCTGCTAGCAACAATGGATTCCTCAGGCTTCCCAGATGATAAGGTTATAATGCAATGGTAAAGAAAATTTGCAATAAAAGAATAGCAGGATATATTATCATTAAGGAATCACTTATCAACCCACCCATCAAATGCTAAACACAGACATATTAATGGTGCATGCAAAGAGCACTGTTCCCTCCTTTTGTCCACAGGGCCTCTGCCAGACAATAACCTTTGCCAGCAGAAGCTTCATTCCCTCAGGCATCCCCCCACTCATGGCCTGTGCCAGCACAGATGCCAGGAATTCACTGCTGAATGACTGCACCAAGCCCTGCACTTCCATGCTCAACAAAAATATTAAGCTTGAAATGTTCACCTTCTGATCATAGAAACGAAATGACTATTTTCTCTAAGAATAAGTGTTCCTGATAGTATTCTAGGAAACTACTTTATTGAAACCTTAACATATCCAGTTCTGAAATTAGGATTCTACTGTGAATTATACTGCAATAAATTGTACTTTGGCCATTTTGACTTGCTACCTAATTTTAGGTTTATGGTAGAGCTGCAAAGCCAGTAGAGGAAGCTTCTTTGGTAGCCAGTGGTACCATACTATTCACTGAACTACAGTTTCTAATTCAGTTTCACTAGTTTGTCCACTAATGTCTTCTCACTGTTCCAGATTTCACAGTACATTTACTCATCTTTTTTTTTCAGCCTCCTTCCTTCTTGGTCTTTTCTTCTATTTCATGACCTTGATAGTTTTGAACAGCAATGATCAGAATTTTATAGAATCTCCCTCAATTTGGGTTTGATGTACTAGTTTTACTGGTATAGGAATTTTAAAAATGTGTCTTTGACAGCACTAACATCAAAGGGGCAGAGATTTAAAATATCTTACAAATTTTTCTTAGTAATTAAGGCACATACACCCCAGATTCTGTTTTTGGCATTAAACACAGCTATTCAAGTTCTACCAAATATAATAAGGTAATCATCCAACAGCTCATTGTGAATGTTAACTGAAAACAATTCCCTAGAAATGTAAATATAAAGGAAAAAAGGCAGGTAAAACAAAATGGCTTTTAGAAAAGCAAATGTATCTACATAGCCTGTTTATGGAAAAGCAAATGTTAACTGATCCAGCCATTCTACAGGACTATGGTATATCGAAATGTGTCTCAGACCTATGCAATAAAATTGCAGAATCTTGCCTTTTATTACTAGTGGAACAAGGATGATGCTCACCCTCCTCGTCACACTCGGTCACATTTCCTGAGCAATTGTTCTGTTGTTATAAGATTTTATAAATATTAGCCCATTTAATCCTTACATGAACCCCATGTATTAGAAACGGGTTTTATCTACATTTTACAGATGTGTGAACTGAAATACAGATTAAACAATTTCTCAAAAGTCACTGGCAATTCAAGCCGGTGAAGTCAGGATTTTCACCAGGCAGTGTGGTTTTAGAGACAGTTTTCTGAAACACTATGCTACATTCTCTCATAACGTATGTCTCATCCTGCTTGGGCCTCAGACGATAGAATGTAGAACATGACCTTTGTAGTAATAAAAAGAGCAGTAACAGCCACTATTTATGAACTGCTATGTGACAGGTACTGTGATAAGTAATATATATTTTAATCTGTTAAATAGTCACATCAACCCTACAAAATATTATTTTCTCCATTGTGGAAGTAAGAAACCAGGCCCAAGAGTCTGTGTCCCCCCCTGCATGTGAACAACTTGACCTATGTTCTGGATTGGCTGGGGAACCACACTTCAGAGTCTACTCCCCACCTTCACTGGGAGCTCTCTCCGCTCGAGTGGGAGCTACCAGGAGGGATAGGAACTGAGGCTCTATCCACAGTTTCTAACACGGAGGCACGTCCACATGGTTGAAACAGGAGAAGACATACCTTCAGGATGCACTGATACCCATACACACACAATATTCATGATTCCACCACCACAATTCTTTTACATATTGCTCCTTTTCTTCTTCATGTCAAACTATCTGAGACTGTAAAGATCTAGACCTAGACAGGGACTTCTTTGCATGTAACTTTAGTTTTGTAATTAGCTGAGCATCACACACAATGAAGAAGTGAAATCATGGTTTTGTGGGAGAAAGTTGTACCTGTAAGAATCTACTTGCCATTAATACGACTAGAATAAATTGTCAGCTTTTTATACCATAGCTTTTACACGTAAGGGAGAAAAGTGCATTTTATTTTCCCAAAAGCAATTTACCATCGGGGGAAAAAGTATTGGTATAATTTCATTATTTGATTATGATAAAGGAGACTCTAATTACCTTGACAGAATCCAGTAAACTCTTAGGAAAAAATCGCTTTAAACCAACATCTTTTCTGAAATATAAAAAGAAGTGTATTAACAAATAACACCACCAAATCAATTAATATGACACAGTTGCAAGAACAGAGAAGCACTGTAAATTATTTATCCTTCCATATATTGTTCAGGAGAAAAACAAGTATTAACACTGCAATTTACCAGTAGATTCACAGAAAGGGTGGGACAAATCATTTTCTAGGTATGTACAGAAAACATGAATACAAGTTAGCTTAAGTAGAAATCCTTTTGATTTTTTTACCCTTATTGTTGAAAACTCTTCTAAAATATTACCTCTTTGTAAATTACACTGTATAAAAAAACTGTTCTCTGCCAGTTGTGGTGTCTTATACCTGTAATCCCAGCTACTCAAGAGGCTGATGTGGGAGGGTCGCTTGAGTCTAGGAGTTCAAAGGTGCAGTGAACTATGATTGTGCCACTGCACTTTAGCCTGGCAACAGAGAAAGATCCTGTCTCTTAAAACCCACTCCCCCACCCCCAAAAAACCAAACCAAACCAAAAAAACACAGAAAGAAAGAAAAAATGAAAAGAAAGCAAACTGTTCTTTTTCAGATACTGCTTAAAGGTTGTCCTCATAAACATCAATTACAATTCCAACTGGGTAATACTATATTTGTGGAGAAAACAGCTGGTTTGATTAGGAAAACTTCATGATGTACCCTGGGAGTTTTTAAAAAAATAAAACATTTGTACATATATTAAGAGTTGACTGATTTTAAAAACAGACTTTTTTGATTAAAGGACTCATTCACCTAATAATGGCTTATCATATCAGTTTCACATTAGAAAAAAAAAAATAGAAAGAAATTAAGTGATTTGCCCCAGGGTCCAAAAATTGAATATATGGAAATGTTGGAAGTCTCAGCAACTTTAAAGTCAAGTTACAAAATTAAATTGATTATTATTATCAAGAACCTCATCATTTGGAAGGGGTTAACAAAGAAAAGTAGAAGAAGAAAAAAAGAACCTCAAAGCACCCTGGCCAAGAAAACACATCAGAAAGAATAGCTGATTCTCTCTTTTCCATGCAATTTAGGTAATAAGTTACCCAGGCATTTTGGCCACTAGATGGCACTTGTGCATTAGTAAAATGAAATAATGCCTCTAAAGAGATTAAGAAATGTCAGGAGACACAAATTATAAAAGGATCAAGTAGAAAAGCGAAATACAGGTATCTTTTCAAGATCAACAAAAGAAAACAATAAACTGAATATAAAGTATCAAAACACAGGATGACTTCATAACTGTAAGTTAGCTGGCATTATGAACAAAAACACAGAAATCATATTAGTTTATATGGTTAATCCTATATATCCAAACCTAATCCCTTATTTTATCATCTACATCATAATCTATTCTTACAAATTATAGAATAAGTAGTACCTAGACCAATGAACTCCTTGCTAAATCCAAAACTGGTTTCAGTTCTCGTTCTTTTTTGTTATTGTTGTGTTTACTATGTCCCGTAATTCTCTTTCTTGGGTTCTATGACACACTGTTTTCTGGTTTTACCTATCAGTTAATTCATATAACTCCTGGTTTTCTGCACTCTAACCATGTCTGTTTGTGACTTCCCTTCCTTACCTTTACAGCACTGCCATTATCTTGATTATTGGATATGAGGAGAGAAAACTGTCCACCCAAGTTCTCCCTTTTCATGTTGCCTCCTAAAAACACAGGGTTTTTGCATTTTAAGGATTTTGAGGCTAACTATTACTGGGAAGTAGCAAAATAAATACATAAAAGAAAAGCACTTTAGAATCTCTAAGGCATTATTCCTGATCATTTTCTTTCCTAGCTTCCTTTCAGGCAATAATAAAAAGCACTTATTTTCCTATCAGAGAGTTCTTGACTTTAATTTTGGCTCTGCCATAGGATGGATTTGGCTATTGACACCCAAGAATCTCAGGTTATCTACTTGTAAAATGGGGATGTCAATTCCTACTGTGTACAGTGGTGCTGAAGATCAAATAAGAATGTGCCTAAACAGTTCCTAAAACTCTTAAGGGGGCCAGTTTCCTCTCTTCTGGAAATACCTCAGAATCCTTCTTGTCCCAAGAGCTTTTGGTCCATATACTCTATGCCCTTCCGCTTATTGTTGAGGGAGGTGTGACCTGGGCTGAGGTTTGTTGGCAGACAGCAGAAGTGGCAACTAGAGAGGTTCAGGGGCTTAGGCTTAGCCCCATGGATGAGTGAGTGGACATGAGCTGTGAGGGAGAGAGAGGTCAAAGATGGCAGAAGGAATGCTGATGCCATGCACTGAAAAAGGGAAGGTGGGTGGGAGCCAACAGTTCTGTTTAAGACACATGAGGCTGAGTGAGGTGTCCATGCCCTCCTAGTGGGTGTTTCAAGAAGGTGACTGGCCATGTCAGTCTCTGGTTGAGGGAAAGATCAGGCAGGGGATGTCCTCTTGCCAACTGTGAGGCTGCCAACCATGATTTGTCAGCCTAGTTACACATTTATTTTTCTCAGAGTCAGGTGGAAAGTAAACGATTTCTGTCACAAATGGGAAAATTAAATATGGACCAAGAAGGCTGTGTATTGCAAGAAATATAAAAGAGGGCATATTTCTTTGTGAAAATAAAGACAACTACTAGGTGTTAATTTTACTTCAAAGGTGAAGACAATGCCACTAAAAAAAAAAAAAAAGCTTAAGGCCAATGTGTAGCATATATGCAGTTTTCAAAAAATACTTTCACGTAGTAACGAACATATGCCCATATGTTAGAACTCTTTAGATACCTGGCAGTTGAGAAAATAAACACGAGGTTAAAGTATACAAGATTATCCCAAAAATTCAACACTACCACCTTTAATACATTTTAATCAAGAAGTCAATCTACTTTGACTTGATGGAAGAGGACTCTGAGAAGCACCTAAGGTATTATGTTCAAAGTTTTTAGGAAGAGCCTATTATAGATATCTATATTTAAAACCTCTCTTAGGAAACCAGGCAGGGACATGTAGGCCGTTCCATTTTCAATACGAGGTCACCTCTCTGTGCTGTGTCTGGCCCTGGTTTATGATGTGCACTCTAATCTGCAGTGGTTCACAGCCTCATGTGGAATAACACTTCTTTGAGCCCAAACTCTACACAACTGTCCTATATGTGAATAAAATAATAAAACACAACTTATATATCATAAAAACATAACTACTGTCCTTTATTACAAGATGATTCTTTATAATTTTTTTTTTTTTTTT